ATAAATGCATGGAATGTGGAAAGAGCTTCAGTCACAGCAGTGCCCTGAGTTCACATCACAGAACTCACACTGGGGAGAAACCGTATAAATGCGTGGAATGTGGAAAGAGCTTCAGTCACAGCAGTGCCCTGAGTTCACATCACAGAACTCACACTGGGGAGAAACCGTATAAATGCGTGGAATGTGGAAAGAGCTTCAGTCACAGCAGTGCCCTGAGTTCACATCACAGAACTCACACTGGGGAGAAACCGTATAAATGCGTGGAATGTGGAAAGAGCTTCAGTCACAGCAGTGCCCTGAGTTCACATCACAGAACTCACACTGGGGAGAAACCGTATAAATGCGTGGAATGTGGAAAGAGCTTCAGTCACAGCAGTGCCCTGAGTTCACATCACAGAACTCACACTGGGGAGAAACCGTATAAATGCGTGGAATGTGGAAAGAGCTTCAGTCACAGCAGTGCCCTGAGTTCACATCACAGAACTCACACTGGGGAGAAACCGTATAAATGCGTGGAATGTGGAAAGAGCTTCAGTCACAGCAGTGCCCTGAGTTCACATCACAGAACTCACACTGGGGAGAAACCGTATAAATGCGTGGAATGTGGAAAGAGCTTCAGTCACAGCAGTGCCCTGAGTTCACATCACAGAACTCACACTGGGGAGAAACCGTATAAATGCGTGGAATGTGGAAAGAGCTTCAGTCACAGCAGTGCCCTGAGTTCACATCACAGAACTCACACTGGGGAGAAACCGTATAAATGCGTGGAATGTGGAAAGAGCTTCAGTCACAGCAGTGCCCTGAGTTCACATCACAGAACTCACACTGGGGAGAAACCGTATAAATGCGTGGAATGTGGAAAGAGCTTCAGTCACAGCAGTGCCCTGAGTTCACATCACAGAACTCACACTGGGGAGAAACCGTATAAATGCGTGGAATGTGGAAAGAGCTTCAGTCACAGCAGTGCCCTGAGTTCACATCACAGAACTCACACTGGGGAGAAACCGTATAAATGCGTGGAATGTGGAAAGAGCTTCAGTCACAGCAGTGCCCTGAGTTCACATCACAGAACTCACACTGGGGAGAAACCGTATAAATGCGTGGAATGTGGAAAGAGCTTCAGTCACAGCAGTGCCCTGAGTTCACATCACAGAACTCACACTGGGGAGAAACCGTATAAATGCGTGGAATGTGGAAAGAGCTTCAGTCAGAGCAGTGCCCTGAGTTCCCATCACAGAACTCACACTGGGGAGAAACCGTATAAATGCATGGAATGTGGAAAGAGCTTCATTCAGAGCAGTAGCCTCAGTTCCCATCACAGAAGTCACACTGGGGAGAAACCACATAAATGCATGGAATGTGGGAAGAGCTTCAGACAGAGCTCACACCTGGCTTCCCATATGAGAATCCACACGGAAGAGAAACCCTATCAATGCATGGAATGTGGATTGAGCATCAGTCGGAAGGGCAACCTGCATTCACATCAAAGAATTCACACTGGGGAAAAACCATACCAATGCATGGAATGTGGAAAGAGTTTCATTCAGAGCAGTAGCCTCAGTTCCCATCAAAGATCTCACACTGGGGAGAAACCATATAAATGCATGGAATGTGGAAAGAGCTTCAGTCGTAGCAGTGCCCTGAGTTCACATCACAGAACTCACACTGGGGAGAAACCATATAAATGCATGGAATGTGGGAAGAGCTTCAGACAGAGCTCACACCTGGCTTCCCATATGAGAATCCACACGGAAGAGAAACCCTATCAATGCATGGAATGTGAGAAAAGCTTCAGTCACCGCAATACACTTAGTTCACATCTTAGAACTCACACTGGGGAGAAACCTTTTAAGTGCATGGAATGCGGAAGGAGTTTCAGCCAAAGCAGCATTCTTTCTATTCATCAGAGGACACATACCGGGGAGAAACCCTATCAATGTGTGCAATGTGGGGAGAGCTTCAGTCAGAACCATCACCTTAGTTTACATCTAAGAACTCACACAGGAGAGAAACCATACAAATGCACGGAATGTGGGAAGAGCTTCAGTCGGATCCATCACCTTAGTTTACACCAAAGGACACACACAGGGGAGAAGCCATACAAATGCCTAGAATGTGGGAAGAGCTTCAGTCACAGCAGTACTCTCAGTAGACATCAAAGAACTCACACACGGGAGAAACCTTTTAAATGCCCGGAATGTGGTAAGGACTTCAGTCGCAGCTGTAGCCTTAATTCACATGAAAGAATGCACACGGGGGAGAAGCCTTTTAAATGCCTGAAATGTGGGAAGAGGTTCAGTAGAACCTGTAACCTGCGTTCACATCAAAGAACTCACGCAGGAGAGAAACTGTTTGGATCAGAAAATCTGTCAAGGGATCCCATGAGTTCACAGACCTTGCTTCTCCTCAAAGAAGCTACACAGCAGGAAAGCATTTAGGTCCGGAAATCTGAAAAGGTCTCAATTCTGATCACCCATCAAATATTCCATGGAGTTCGAGTGAAAACTCTCTTAATTTCTCTGGGTGTGGAAAGATCTTTAGGCAGAAAAGACATTTTATGTTGTAACCTTTTACATTCTATGGGGCTATTTGGATGAATTTCACATTTTTGCATTTACGTAACAAACCACATGAGTAATTAGAGCAATGACAAAATGCTAGAATTTTGCCCTTTAGATTTCAAAGTCTAACATAAATGCAAGGTATCCTTCCTCAACTGTGTTGGGTATTCAAAACCCCCAAATAAAATATCATTTCAATTGTTTGCAGTTTATGAATCCACTTTGTAGGTCTACTCTTCCAAGACAAACATCTGGGAATTATACCGAAACCAAGTTGGCAACAGGAGCCTTTCTGATTCAAAAATTGGTTACTTACAGTCCTGCTCTTTCTTAGTCCAATCCTTTTAAGGTCGAACCCTTATATCATAGGAGTTACAACGTCACATTTGCAAAATCCATAAGGGTACGAATACAAACATTTTCCCCCATAGTCTGAGCATTTTTTCCCTACCTCCAGGAGAAAATAATGAACTCTGTAGAGGTAGTAGGGAAAAAAAACATAAAGAGAAATTTAGAAGTAACTTGTTGGAAGCTAAGGCAAAGCATATGATAGCCATTTGCTTAGTCATATGAAGAGTGTTGAACAGGAAATGTAACATATGTCCTTACCTTTTATTGTATTCCTGCATCGAGCAGGGGGTTGGACTTGATGGCCTTGTAAGCCCCTTCCAACTTCACTTTTCTATGATTCTACATTAGTTTCATTGTCTTGACACTTCACACACCATATGCTTTTTCTTCTGATTGTAACTACAGATTATAACTGAGTAAACTTCTAAGGATACATTTCGAGTGATCGTTTTACTATGAAATAGGGTGGTTGGTCTGTCACAATCCTGGTAGGATGTATAAATAGCTCTTTGAGAGTCCTATTCTTAGTCATATACCTCTTAAGAAAATTTTAAAAGATGTTTTACTAGCACGGGACGTGCTTTTGTCTCTGTTCCTCTCCGGTGGGGCTGCGTCTTACTTACCTTGCAAAAACTGGGAGGGATCAGGATCTCATTGGAAATGCTCTTTGAGGTGGTCCGTTAGCCACGTGTTTGCAAAATCATTTTTCTCCAGAGAGAAGAAAGCGGGGAATAGAAAGGTGGGTCACAAAAGAACAGGGAGGGAAGGGGGGAGAATAAGAAGGAATACAAATGGGCAGGGAAGCTTTGCAACCTGGATCAGATCGGAATTCATGGAATAGTGGGGCCGTGGGGGGTGGGCAACAGTGGGTGAAGCTTTGCAATGGGAGAACAAGTCTGGATTCCTCAAGAAAAGGATGACAATTTTGGGTGAAGGAGGAGAAATTGCAAGTATTTTTCAAAAGCTCTCATTTTGGTGACGCCTCCCCCTCCAATTAAACTCCTTCCTGCCTCTCTCCTGTAGAAAACAATAAAACTGAATGGGAAGGAAAGGAACCAGATAAGGAATGGGTGGGGGAGGAGGGAGTCCCCTTTTTCTCCACCACTGGTTTCCCATGGGCCCGTGAACAGAACTGGTGATGAGATTTTTGAGCTGCCATCCAGGTTTTCCTCCTTCTTTGGCCAGTCTGGATTTTTAATGGTTTTGGTTATCTTCATTTACATCTTTGTGGGGTTGGGGAGGGGGGAATTGGGCAGCTGTAATTTGGTGGTTATTAAGTACCAAAGGTCGTGCCCATGCACTAGATGGGCAGGATATAGAGGTAACAAATAAATAAATAAAAATAAAGAAACACTCTTCAAGCTTCCGTTCAGTCCCTATTTCAAAAGAAAACTTCCTCCCACACTTCAACCCTTTGCTAAGAGATCAGAATAGCAAGGGGCGGTGTGTGTGTGTGTCCCCTATTGATCTTGAATTTGTCAACCCTTTGCTAAGAGATCAGAATAGCACGGGGCGGTGTGTGTGTGTGTGTCCACTATTGATCTTGAATTTGCTATGTTTTTTGCTGGCCTCCGTGTCCCCTAAATACATCCTTTCAGAGGTCTTAGTCCATGGAAGTCCCATGAAAAAGGGTGAGCATAGACTGCAATGGGGTGATGGTGGGGGAAGAGATTAAGAGACCAAAAGAGGAAGAGGATGATAAGATGATGATGGAAAGAAAGAAGGGGAGAGATGGGGACAGAAGCAGTAATGGAAATGGCAGGACCAATGTTAAGGGATGTTGCAAAGCAAGGCTTCATGAATCACAAAAATAATTAAAATATAATTTAATGATCCATTAGGTGAGTGACGTGCCCCCTTTCTTTCCTGTGAGGGTTTCTCCTCACCTAAACATAAAATGCCTTTTGGTTTGCTCTTGGGGTGAGACACCTGTGACACATGCTCGAGTCTCAACATGCTCGGGTGGGGATGATCATGGACTCCACAGAAATAGCGAGACCAGCCTGGGGGGCACCCACCCCAGGAGCCCCAGGAGCACCAAGAGCTGGGAGGAGGAGGAGCAAAGCTTCAGTCCCTCAGGCCAGGCCCCACCCCCTTCAGCAACAGCTGCTCTCCATTTGGTAGCCAGAGCTGCTATGGGGGAGGGGAATACCGTTGGCTGCTTGGCGGGAAAAGGAGGGGCATTCTGTGAGGGTTGGTTTGACTCTCTCCCTCTCCCCCTCTCCCTCTCTCTCTCCACCCCCTCCAGGAGGCTCAGGAGCAACAAGAGCTGGGAGGGGGAGGAGCTAAGCTTCAGTGCCTCAGGCCAGGCCCCACCCCCTTCAGCAACAGCTGCTCTCCTGCTCCCGCCATTTGGTAGCCAGAGCTGCTAAGGGGGAGGGGAATACCGTTGGCTGCTTGGCGGGAAAAGGAGGGGCATTCTGTGAGGGTTGTTTTGACTCTCTCGCTCTCCCCCTCTCCCTCTCTCTCTCTCACCCACCCACCCTCCTGGTATTATTGCCTTTTTTTACCCTCCTTATTTCCACACAGACACTGCGGGGAGCCCAGCTCTGCCCTCAAGAACCCTCTCGTGCCCTCAAACAACCCACCCTTAAAGGGCCTTGTCCCACCATAGTCTGGCCGAAGGGGAGGTCCCTTGACTCCCCCTTTCTCCTTCATTTTTCTTCCCACTTGATGCTTTGGGGTGTGGGGGGAGCTGAATAAAAGGGGGCGTTGAAAGGGTGACTCCCGCTTCTGCCTCTCCCCAGGAAGCATCTTGACAGAATGAGTGGTCGCTCATCTATCTATCTATCTATCTATCTATCTATCTATCTATCTACCTATCTATCTAAACACAATTAAGCATTGTGTATTCCCTGCCACCAAGTCTGAACCAACTTTGTTGTTGCTTAGTCATTATGAGCCCATGGACCAGAGCACGCCAGGCCCTCCTGTCTTCCACTGCCTCCTGGAGTTTGGTCAAATTCATGTTGGTTGCTTCGATGACACTGTCCAACAATCTTGTCAGAATATAGAAATTTTGTAGGCCTGAACCTGAATAAATGTATCATTAACGAGCTGCCATTGTGCACAAATGTGAGTATGCGGAATCACTCTGAAGATGATGCAATGTCTGGATATGAGAAGACACCAGGTGCAGAAGATGAAGTCATGTGTCTTCTGATTGGACTAGAGATGCCATGTATAAGTATATAAGTGAACAGTGTCTGTGTATCATTCCCCTTCCTTCTCCACCATTTGCTGCTACCCACTATGTCCGTTTGTGTAAAGAGCTCCTGCCATGCTGATGTGATACCTGCCTGTAAATAATTGTTCATACTGTAAATACAACCGTCTTGCAACAGAAGAACTTGTCTTCAATAACTCTGCACATTTTTCCTGTCGCCAAATCCGTGACACATCTCATCGCCTTCTCCTCTTGCCTTCACACTTTCCCAACATTAGGGTCTTTTCCAGGGAGTCCTCTCTTCTCATGAGATGGCCAAAGTATTAGAGCCTCAGCTTCCGGATGAACCAACTTAGAGCAACCCTAATAGGGCTTTCAAGGGAAATGAGATATTTAAGGAATGATTTTACCAGTTCCACAACCACAGTGATTTTCCATGGCTGAGCGGGGATACGAACCCTGTTCCACAGAGCCCTAGTCCTTCGCTCTAGCCACTACCCAACAATGGGAATTAAAGTCAAGATAAAAAATAGCTTTGAAAATATATTTTTTAAGAACTAAAAATATATAAATTTCATAAATCGCGCCTTTCTTAGACCTCCCCTTACTACTTAAAAGCCTGCCTGAGGAGGAAGATCTTTGCCTGATGATGGAAGGACAAGAGGGAAGGGGGCCAAACTGGCCCCTCAGGGCAGTGCATCCCAAAGCCTGGGAGCCACCACTGAGAAGGCTCTCAAGCTTGAGAAGGTGCTGCAATGGAGATAGGGGGCTCCCCAGAAGATCCTAAAAACTGAGAAGGCTCTCATGATTTGAAACTCCAGGCAAGGGACTGCCATGACAAGCAATTACACAAAAATTAGTAAACAGAAAAGAGCTTCACACATAGAAACAGGGGACTCCTGGCTCTTGACCATAACAGGTAGCTAATTTATAGTTCTTCTGATACCTCATTTTCATTACTTTTTAAAAGGTTGCTTCTTCTAATCACAATCTGTTTTCAAGTGTTCATCTCTTACAGACACCCTTTTTT